GAACATATCATCAAAACTATTTCCGACAATTGTCGTCCTGTAATCGATTGCAATAATGGCACCACACATATTCAATGGACGCAATCGCTACTCGACAATATGCAAACTGTCGAGCGTTGTATGCGTGTGCTGGAGAATGTGACGCAATTGAACGAGGAGAATCAACGATATGTATTGACTTACGGTCAAGGCGAGGCGGTCCACACATTATGTTCACTATTTACGTTATGCGATCGTGAGATACTGCGTCATGTTGCCGAGTCAATCGAGCATTCTGCCAAAGATAGTCCAGGAGTGGTAATGCGCGAGCTCCTGTTCCCACTCCTTAAAGTGCTCATCAATTTAACGCACACATTCAATCCAACAAAAGCGTTGGGTGCCGAATTGTTGGGTCAACGCAATGCTGTAATCGAGACCAGCTTCCGTCTGTTGCTACAGGCACCCAACTACATTCCTGAACGTTGTGTCTTTGAGCTGAGTATTCTGGTGAGTAAATGATTTGGGTAGCAACGTAATCATTGTAACTAATTTTTTATTATTTTTTTTTTTTGTATCCATAGGTGCTGCTGTTGCTTATCAACCTTACCATGTATACGATACCTAATCGCGTGGCGATAATGCGAATTTATGCGCCACCCGAATACAGCAGTCATCAAAATAACAAGGTGACTGCTGTGCAAGCTGTGATGGAGTATTTCTACGGATGCGAGGAATTGGCCAGGTAATTAATACATAGTTTTTATGCTTAAATTCAATTAAATAATTTTCTTGATCTATTAATTTTCAAACAGATTGGTCGAAAAGAATACCGATGCCATTTTGGATAGTACCGACAAAAATAAGAAGAAACAGGAGGAGGTTGATGAAACTGTAAATAACTGTAAGTGCTCTGCATATTTGTATTATAAGAATATTTTATTGACCAGGGTTGCAAATAGTACAATAAAAAATAATTGATTTAATATTTGCTTTATTTTGTAATACCGACAAACTTAATTGAAAATATTTTTATTCTTAAATATTCAGGTTTTAGTGGAAATCTAATTTTTAATTTAGATTTAAATTATTTTAAAAAAATTAAAAATTGAAAATTTATTTTTAAACGAAAATCTAATTTTTAATCCGAATTCTTGAAAAAAAAACTATTTATGAATAAAAATCAATTTTTGGTTCCAAAATGTTGGAATTAAAAAATTGTCAACCCTGATATTGAAGAACTATTCAATAATAAATTTTAATCGACAATTTACAATTTGCAATTTACAGTGCTGAAAAACTCCGGCCATCACATGGAGCACACCATTAAGGGTAGCTATGCTGCTTTGCTAATTGGCCACATAATCACTGATAATGAGGAATACGAAACTCTGGTGCGTAGACATTTGCGCGGAAATGGCTTCAAAGAAATTATTAGTGTACTGGAGAAATATTATACATTTATGGATCTGACTTGTGTAAGTACATACGCCTTATTGTCTTCTTTTTATTTATTTGATTGATTTCTTTTACGACATTTAACATTTTCTTTCTTAAATTTTCCAACATTTTTTCAAATAGTCGGATGCTTCCGCTGTGGCGCATATTAAGTCGACAAAGACATTAATTGACTACTTCAAGAAACGTGATTTAGTGTACGAGATGAACGAATCCGATGTCTGTGCGCTTCCCCTAAACTTAGAAACACATCACGCTTCAACGTCGGCTACCAGCACAAACGCTGGTATAGATATTATCGGCAATGGCGATAGTCCGACAATGACAGCAACACGTAGCGGCGGGTCGCAACGCGTTTACAAAAGCTACAGTCAAAGATAATTACTAGACAAATTTGTTTTATACACCACAATAGTTGTTGTAGTATCAGTTTGCTGCAAATTCATTCTTCTTCTGAAATTTGCACATTACGCAAAATTTACTAAAACTAACAGTTTAACACAATTTTTCAAATTATTAATAGCAATTTGTTTATTTTCACTATATAGCGACAAAATTGTTTGTTTTTGATATAAATAGTTTTACTATGCTCTAGAATGTGTCTAAACTAAATGTATAATTTTAAAAGTTTTACTGCACAATCATTTTAATTAAACTAAATTTTTTTTTTTAAATAATACATATTTTCGTATATACTATACTTGCAATTACAACAGTTATATGATTGTATGTATATATATTTTAAGTAGTCTATAAGTTAAACTAAAAGTCAAGCTTGTATCTTCAAACTACTTTTTTCACATTTCTAACGACTATTATAATTTGCTTATAGTAAGTATTACATTTATACTCATTTATGTGCAAAGATAAGCTTTTGCTTTATATACATACATACATGCATATGTTACGTATAAGAAAGACACGAACAAAATGTTATAGATAACACTGATTGGATAACTTATATACAAATATAAATAAGTGTCTACCTTTCTAAAAACAAGAAAAAACATAAAAAGTAACTATTTGTAATTCTAATTGTAATTGTATTTTTAAGCAATATTATTATTATCTATTTCACTGTAAATAACTTAGAAATTGGATATTTCTGATTTTACTTTTACGCTAGAACGCACCGCATGGATGTATGTGCGTGCGAGTGTGTGAGTTATAGTACATACAAATAGACGGTTAGCGTTTGTTTTGTTAAAACATTCGTACTTGTAGTTTAAATTATGTTGCGCAACTAATACGTATATATATGTATGTTGTATGTTTGTGCGAAAATCGTGTGAAAATTTTTAATGTTGTAATGTTGGCAAAAAGAAAAAAAAAACAAATGCAAAAAAACAAAAACACACCAAACTAAATCGCAAAAAAAGAAAGCAAAACATTAAATTGCTAATATGCGTGGATTACAAAAGTGTGAAACGTGTGCGTTGGGCGCAACAATTTAGGCTACAAAATGAAAACGAACGAATTGGATATTTAGATTACAACAAAAAAAAAATTAAAATAAACATATATATATATATATATATAAATATATAATGAATCAAAACAGAAATGAGATGATTGTACTAAAAAAGAGAAGATTCACACAAAATTAGTATTTAAAAAAGCAAAAAATTAATTTCATAACTCATAAAACACAAATGCATACATTTTTGGAACAAAACATACATACAATATATATATACATATATAAATATATTTATTTTGTGTTTGAAATTTGGCATTAAAATTTGCAACTGAAAGTGAAATAAATAAGATTGTTTATTTAAATAAAAGCGTGATGTTTTAAGCGTCAGAATTTTAAAAGAACTTGATTTTGATGAATCGGTTTGTTGGACAATTATATTAATCCGATCTGAATAATTTGTTTGGACTCGTGCAAGCGATCTGGTTGATCTCAAAAACTGGGGAACTAATTCGCGTTCAACTTTTCGTGTGGCTAAGGCCTGTCAACTCAACAGTAAAATTTTTTGGGGTTTGATTTCTGTTCCTACAACAACTGCAATATATCTAATTTTAACTTTTACATAAAATAATTAATAATATCACTTTTAAAGAAATTTCGTGCTCTACATGTGGCAACCACACGTCATGTTTAAAATCAGCTGTGCGCCTTGGCATTTCATAACCAAAAAAGAAAGATAAGTGCACGCGAATTACAAAACTTACGGCTTTATAACTTTTTATAAAAGTTATATGAAAAATACAAGTTCAAATTAAATATACTTAGAATCCTTAGCATAAAACACATAAATATTGAAAATGGTAGATGCGGGTCAAAATGCTTCAATCGATAACTTGGATAAGGATCAAATGAAAACAGTGAGTTTCATAATGTATGGACAGACTATATACATGAATTCCTTAATAAAACAAAAAATTCGAATTACAGTTCTCCGATTTCCTGATGTCCTATAATAAATTGTCGGAAATGTGTTTCACAGATTGCGTGCGCGATTTTACTTCGCGTGTGGTCAAAGACAATGAGGTAACAAAGCAATTCGCCGGCTCGAATGAGATTTTTGTTTACTTATATTAGTCTAACTTTTAATCATAATTGATAGGAACGCTGTGCACTCAATTGTATGGAGAAGTACCTGAAGATGAACCAACGTATTTCACAGCGTTTCCAAGAGTTCCAAATGATTGCCAATGAAAACGCTATAGCGATGGCACAAAAGTCTGGTAAACTTTAACGTGTGTGCAACATGGAACGATTTATTGATGTTGGGCACAATTAAATTGTGTAGAATAATTAGCCAGAGATATATGCATTTCCTCTGAAGCGTACATATGTGCATTTGTTAACTTCACTACCATTGTTTAATAAAAGGTAATTCTCTACAATTTTTTGACTTTTAAAATCTTAGTGCAACCAAAAATGATGAATTTAATGTACTAACAGTGAAAGTTAATTCAAAAAGTTAAATTGACGGATTTTAAAATGTATGGTAAAAAAGCAAACTTCTACTAAGTCAATTATTTTCCATAAAATACATACCCTAATGCACTTTTGCAATTTGTGCTAGTCCGCGAATTTAAGAAGTGATACATTTTTTTTTGAGTGTTGCTGTAAATACGTGGTATATATAGAATATATTTACCACGAAGTTTTTAATATGCGGAAGGAACGCCGGAGATCCTATAAAATATACATGTAAACCATTGCGAGCAGAGTCGAGTTAACCTTGCGAGTCTGTTTTTATATGTATATGCGAATTAGTCCCTTAGTTTTTGAGAAATCGATCGGAAATTTTGCACTCGTCCGTTTATCCTCAAAAATCTGCTCATTTGTCGGCCACCGATATCGGTTCATTTTAGGATATGACTAAGAATAATAATACAATCTCTTGGATTGGAAGCATCTGGCCCTAGGACAATGTAAAGATTCGTGTGTCGTGAAGTACGTATTTTATGAACTTTAACAATCAGTAAATTTTCCCCGAGTTATCTCGCAAATAAGACATGTAAAACGCTTCTTTTTACACTCTTTTAAGCGGCGATTACAAAACATTTACCTCGGTAACAAAATATTGAATAAAAAATAGCTTTGCTTGCGACGATGTACGCCGGAGTTCATTGCCCTGATAAGCGGGCACATGGATTTTACACTGCTTATTTGGCATTTTTATTTTCTTAATATTTCATATAATATAAAAGATTTAAATTACTATTCGAAATCTTAAGAGAATGCGCAGTGTATATATGTAATATATTTAATTGTTTAATAATATCTTAAGAATTATGATAATATTAGGATACAGACAAATTGCCAACGCGAGGAACTTAACATAAGGAAAAAAACGGGATTTATTTTAGAAAATTAAAAGATATGTGCAATATTTCATATATGTTTTTTACGCACTTAAAATAATAAAAATAAATACCGAGATTTTACCGTATTGTGATCAATTGACAATGTAAACACTAACTTAATTCACATGTAACTTTTGGTAACTGCTGAATACTAAAGAAAAGTATTATTAACTAAGAATGCTTTCTCTTGGCAGAACTGACTGAGCACCTGACTCGATGTAGACTTCGTACGAGATGAAAAATGAATGAAAATTCACTAATATTAATGTTTTTCAATGAATAGAGCCGCTTTCACCCTGAAAACCCTCAGTCTCACTTATCAATGCGTACTCCAAAATCACGCGTCCTTCTTTGTATCTAACAACACAGGAAATGCAATTAAATATATAAATTGACTTTTTAAATATTTTAACTTACTTTTGTGCATCTTCGGTAGCGTATTCATACATCCAGCCTAATTTGGCATCGCAACTTTTACACATTACATCGCGTACCATATGTCGACCCGTAAGCATAACCCGCTCTTGGACATTACTAAATGTCAGGTTAACCACTCGCTTAAACAGATATGCACGACCTGCGAAAAAATAGCAAACAATAATGTAGACAGTGGTGATAAGTAATCAGTGCAAGTAATCTCAGTCTGACGCAATACGCAATTGCCACGATACGTATGTAGGTGTGGTATTTCGCTATCATAAAAAAGACATTTCAAAGTTTAACTCACCCGTTGCACCCGTAAATCTGGTACTTATCAATTGACTGCGATTGGTAAGATTTGTCTGGCACTGTGCGCAATTGAACAGTTTCGAGCCGCCAATATGCTCGAGGAAAACGCGGCCCATATTTAGTTTATGTTACAACAATTTTTGTTTTTATTGTGTTCTATTACAATGGTTTCTGTGGAATATATTATTTGTTTAACCACAAAAATATTGTCAAAATTTTCTTCACACAAATTCACAAGTACTGTTGATTTCACAAATGAGTGTTTTCGTTTTACAAGTCGTAGTGCTTAATGCTGTTGAGAAACATAGAAAATTTTTGCCATATTAGGAAGAAAAGAATGTAATGACAGAATTTTATTCTTTGTTAGCAAATTTGGAAAGTTCTCTTTTTTATATGCACATTTGCCTCTAATGCATTTTACTCTTTTAGCATATATTCACCAATGGTTTTTTGTACCTTTTATCGCGTGACTTTGATTAATTTCTACTACGTTTCAATTATATACTCGACTTTCTTGATATTTTTTCCTCTTTCTGTGTCGTAATTTTCAAGTGCAATTGCAATTTATTTTGACTATTTCTTTTCTCTTGTTTAGACAATAAATGAACGGTAAATATTTTTGAAGTTAGCTGCAATTGAATAAAGAGTTGCCGGTAGAGAGGATATCGTAATTGGCACATTAATTGTTTAACTTTTGTTTTAAATATATAAATCTTGCTAATTTGATATCGGAAAAAATTTAAAATTTCGTGGTGTTATGCTTATTGCCACAAAGTTATTCACATGTGACGTATACGGTAATTTAATGTTTAGTATTGCTATCGCATAGCATTCTGTACTTGAAAGCTTGTAAATGCGCACACAGCTTGCAACCCTGTATACGTCAGTTGAAATTCACGTTGACAGATAATTAAGCACAACAAACTTCAATTTTTGTTCTTTCTTTCCGGTATAGGATTCTGTGAGGTGTGCTTGTTCTCGACTTCGAGCTAAGGCCAAATTTTTAAATAAAAATCTAATTTTTGGCAACTTGCACCAATATTAATAATTTAAATACTTTATAACCATGTCTACAAAAGCTGAACTTGCTTGCGTTTACGCTGCTCTCGTCTTGGTTGATGATGATATCGCTGTCACTGTAAGTATCATTTGGCTGAATGTACATAAGTGCGCAAAACTTATAATTGGAATCTGAAAATATTACAAAAATCCTTGTGGGTTTTTCATGTTAACTGATTTGTACTTGTGCAGTTATTCCAATTCAATTGAGTATGTACTTATATTTGGTTTATATTCTAGGGCGAGAAAATTTCGACTATCTTGAAGGCCGCCAATGTTGATGTTGAACCTTACTGGCCCGGTTTGTTCGCCAAGGCTTTGGAAGGTATCAACGTTAAGGACTTGATCACCAACATTGGATCCGGTGTCGGTGCTTCTGCCCCAGCTGGTGGCGCTGCCGCCGCTGGTGGAGATGCTGCTCCAGCTGAGGCCAAGAAAGAAGAGAAGAAGAAGGAGGAAGAACCAGAGGAATCCGACGATGACATGGGCTTCGGTCTCTTCGATTAAATCTAAACGTTTTATAGTTTTTATTAAAACTTTTAATGTGTCCTCTTGACAAAGTATAAAGGAAATTTTGTATACTACGTATACAAAACGTGAAACAATTGTTTACTTATTCACCATATGGTTCATGATTAAACCAATCTGTGTGATGTTAAAAACGCAATCGAAACGCTTTTAGGATGCAACTAACAAAGTTGTTTGAAATTTGAAGTGCGCAGTTAAAAAGTTGTTTATTGTAATGCAGCGAAGTTTTCTTATTTTTAAATCAGCTGTGCGCTATGTGCTTTTATTTTGAAGCCGTGATAATTGGTTTCACTTTCTGTTGTGACTGGATGTGGAATACGTAAACGTGTCCAAAGAATTGTATTTGAATGTGTGTGTAATGAAAGGTTGCCCATATGGAAATGGGATTTTCGTCCTGTGCGCAAAATTTACACAATCTCACGCTACATAAAAAGTCCCATGGTGTCGATTTAGAGACCTTGAACGAGATGACTGGGTTTTCTAATGGATCCAATTAGATTCGAGTTCGCCGTATGGTTATGTATTAATATAGAATAGAGAGGTACATTTCAAGGGAAATATGAAGTTTTTTATACGAAAATTAAACCATTCTCAGCTATAAAGGTGTTTGATCTCAAGATATAGCAAACGAAGAAGGTCAAAGTGATTTGGGAAAACATATTTTTGCACCAATAAAAAAAAAGTTTCGGTAGTTAAGCACATACATATATGGCAAGTAGTTCTTACTGGGACTCTTAATGTTTTTTTTATAATTGTTGCTTAAGATAACTTAGTGTGGATAAATGGTGCCAATATGTCACGATTGGACTATCAACTTTTTATAAGAGTTTAGTTGTTCTCTATGCAGTTGTGCTATGATATCAAAAAACTATAATCATATAATAAATTGGCAGCAAGTGAGTTTTATTGCAGCTATTAGTTCAATAATGATAACAATGCAACTTTGTCTGTAATGCGCGTAGAATATTTGGAATAAGTTTCAGTGAAACATCGATAGCCAAATAGTGTGGAATTAATATTTAAAAAGCGTTAAAATGCGTGTTAGTAACAGGGTTTGGATATTTTATATTCTAAAAGAATAGATTTACATAGTTTTATCAGTAGAATATAACATACTTTCTTTTTAGATGCATTTGTTTTAAATAATAGTTGATAGTAATATAGTGGAATATACAAAAACTACTGATTTTTCATAATATTTGTTACTAAACGGCTTCCGTTTCCATTGAGTGTAACGAAACAATATTTCATTCCCGGATCGAGATTTACATTTCCGCAACTATTGGAGAAGATTTAATTCCGCTACAACAACTATTCCGTTCAATAAAATACCTAAATAGTTTAATATAAGTTAATTAAAATAATGGAAACTGTGTAATAGTTAATCCCAGTCGTAAAATCGGTTATCATGTACAAAGTTCTTTAAAGTATTTGATTGGATAAGAAGATAAATAAATGTATATGGATGAGCTAATGTTCCAACAATTGTGCCTATAATTATTGTTTACCACAGACAAAGTGGTTTTGAAACATTTCCAGTCTTATAGAATTGTATGAAATTGAAAACAACTAAATATAAGAGAATCTTAGTCCATTCAAATAGCACCTTTCTCAAAACTTGAAATATTAAATCATCTCTGTATTAACATAATATTTTTTGTTTTCAAAAAAAATACGCAAAATTTACAACTTTATTTGAAAACCGCCGCCAAGTATAGCAAATAATTTGATAATTAAAATAAAGGGATGGCATTTACATTGACAGTTTTTGTTGTAACAAAAAATGAAGTAAAAACGACTGTACGAAACGAAAATTATCAGACGGTCACAACTATTGTGAATGCCAGATTAAAATTATAATTTGATAAAAAAAGATATTGTCTACATATTTTTTAATTTTACTAATATTATTTCAATTTGAAGTATTTTTACATATAATTTCTTTTTAACTACAGGCTAAAGTGTTCTTTCATATCCTAATATGGTGTTTTTCAGTGGCTGTAAGTATTCTATATAAAAAAAAAAAATTAATTACACTTATGTATTAATTACGTTAGTAGGTATATGAAATATTTATTATTTTTTATATATTTTATTAACTACTACCATTTATAATTCAGTTTTATTAGGCACAATGGTATTTCATGTTTCGAAGTGTGCGAACGTTGTGTTTAAATAAATTTTTAGTGTCATAATATTTAAATTGTAAAAAAATATTTTGTTTTGTAAAATCATTCATTCAAATTAACTGATTTTGGAAAATTTAATACAATAACCAGACTAACAATGACTTCATATCTTTGTCATTGCCAGCTAAGCACGGAGCCCATCGTGCTTGTGCACGGCGGTGCCGGCTCCATTACGGATGCCCAATTGCCTGTTGCATTACATGGAGTCAAAACGGCAGCACGCGTCGGCTTCGAGACACTCAAATGTGGCGGCAGTGTGTTGGACGCCGTGCAGCAGGCGGTGCGCTCAATGGAAATCAATCCACAATTTAATGCCGGCTATGGTTCAGTGCTCACTTGGGAGGGCAAAGTAGAAATGGATGCAGCCATCATGAACGGTGATGATTTGAATGCGGGTTGTGTTTCCGTAGTACGCGACATTTACCACCCCGTCGATTTGGCGCGCCGTGTTATGGAGAAGACGCGACACATGTTCCTTTCGGGCGAAGGTGCAATGCTTTTCGCAGAGGAAGAGAATTTCGAAATTCTACCCGAAGGCGCTTTGGTCACGAATAAATCACAGAAAGCACTTGAAGACTATAAGAATAGTTTGAATGCTACGACAAAGAAATTGTGCAATTCCGATTTGAATATTGGATGTCCTTGTGATGTACAAGGTGTCCTGTCCTATTCTGTTCTCAAGAATTTCCTCAAAGAATACGGTTCACAAGGAACGGTTGGTGCTGTTGCTATTGACGAATTGGGCAATTTAGCTGCCGCTACATCCACGGGTGGCATAACAGGCAAAATGCCTGGACGTGTTGGTGATTCACCACTACTAGGTGCTGGCACTTATGCCGATAACGAAGTGGGCGCCATATCGGCTACTGGTCATGGTGAGACAATTATGCGTTACAATGTAGCCTCGCGCATTTTGGCTCACATTAAATATGAAAATATGACGGCAGAAGAAGCGTCAGCTAAAGTTCTGAAGGACATGACGCAACGTTTTCAGCAGGGAGCCGGCATAATAAGTATCGATAACAGCGGCAATGTGGGCATCAACTTTACAACGGCACGTATGACTTGGGCCTATCAACGCGGTGAAGAGCTACATTATGGTGCTGATCCGAATGAAGATAATGTCGACATAGTAGGAGAACCCCGGCTAAGCGCTCTGGACTTGTGTGTTTAAGCCCTTTCGCTGTTGGCGTAATATTAATTGTCTGGTATTATTGTTATAAGCAAAATTTAAAGCAATATTCAAAAAATTTCTGTAGCTGCAAGCAGTGTTTTCATTTTTTCTTAAGGATGATTGTTGTACATTTTGTAATTCATGTTTATTTTCTATGCCATACATATGGTGGCATTGTTAGCTGCAGCTTTTAGTTGTATGCGGCATACTTTCGGGCGCCTTGTTTCGTAGTGTACCAATATGTCGTACAGTACGACTGAAAAATGTGTCATTTTGTGGCTGCCTGCTGCCCTTTATGGGCGCCTGGTGTAATTGGGGAAAAAATGAAATTTGCTCTGCCGCACAATTTCGCTGCCGCTGCTCGCTGTCGCTGCCACTGCTTGTTTTCGCTGTTAGCGCATATGTCTTGCATGTAAAGTGAAGGAAGGCCGTTTTTAACACGTTTTAAGCGAAATTTAATGAAAAATTTAATATATTTGTAAAAAATTAAATAAAAAATCGATAATAGCTAATTAATTTAATATTTATTATTGAAAATAAAAAATGGTGGACATTGAATTTTACAATAAAAATACAATATACCTAAAGCAACATGTTTTGCGCATATTAAGGTGTTTTACGTGTTTATACAATATAATAGAAATATAATCTGATTGTTTTGCTCATAATACTTACAGCATCGTTTAAGATCGTAACAAATTCAATAAATACACGCTTGTTTTACAATGTGTTTTGAATCAATTTCATTTGTTTTATTATTTTCATTTTATTTATACATACTAATTTTCAATTATAATTATTTATTACATGCTTGCATACAAATTATCAGCCACACGTACAAATACATAAATTATCTACACCTATATTGTATATACATACTTAAATGTACATATGTATGTATTTATAATGCAGTCATATTAATTACATATTAAGAGTACATACATAATTTAAATTCCAGTTTTTAACAGCATATATGTTCTATATACATACATACATGTACGCATAGTTTATGTTTTAGTCTCCACCCATGATTATTAGTTTTTCAATGAATAATTATTATGAAATCAATGCCATGCGATGATATTGTACTGACAATTTAGCTGTGATCAAGCAAAGTGAAATACGTTTAAATATATACTATGTATAAATAGATTTGTATGTATATATGTATACAACGCAGTTCTTGTCCATTATAAAAATTTCTCAGAATTCATACAGCCGTTTTGTCATATCTTTTCGATGCAGAATTTAGTTAGTACATGTTAAAACATTTGAAAACATTTTTTACCATTGCACTTATTTTGACATTTTCAATTATTTTATTTACATTTTTTTAAATTTACATTTTATTATTTCTGATGTATTCAATAAAATTAATTTCATAATTTTTTTATTTTATAATTTATTATGATTTGGGTTATTTCTTATGTGTGTTATTATATTGCATTAAGTTTTCATCAATTTTTATTATTTTTATATTATTTGTTATTATTCATAAATAAATTAATTTTTTATTTTCACATTGTTTTTATTTATTAATTTTGCATTTTATAATCAATAAATAAAAAAATAAGAAAAAACGTATTTATTTTATTTATTTTACAGTTATTTTGGCATTTTCAATTATTTTCATAAATTTTTTTATTTTCTAATTTATTATGATTTTTTGCGTTAAATTTTTAAACTATTTGTTACTATACATTAAATTTTAATACATGTATTT